TTGGCTAAAGCAACCTCAGGCGGTTATCGAATTGGCCACAGTCCGAAAGAAGTGATGGTATGATGCTTCGCAAGTTCGAAGAGTGTGCGTTCGTTAATGATAAGCAATGGCGTGCCCTTAGTGTCACCTGGTATATGATGCCGTGCAGTATGGTAGGTTACTGCTTCCATCTTCTCCGTCACTGTAACACCGAAACGTTGGCAGCCTAGCAGACTATCGGCATCACATCTCAGATGACCGCAACCGTGAGTATTCGCTGCTGTGAGAAATTCAAAACTCAGACAGGCATAGTTTTGTGCCCTTCCGTCCTTACATCCATACCTCCATACGCCTTCATGGCGCAGTGCTTAATTAGTTAAGCGCAAGGACAAATTCACCTCTTTTGTCCTACTGTCATTTTTCTCCCTCCTTTGTACTAAAACCGTTTAGGTTAATATGCCCCAACGTTTGAATGCCAGTGAAAACGGTCAGAAATGCTGAGTACTGTGTCGCCCAGGTCTGCGTCCTAGGCAAGCGCCAGGAAACGCAGGAACGGACAGTGTATGTACCTGTGTTATCGAGTGATCCATCGAGCCGCATGACGGTTAACGCCATCTGTCAGACTGAGCGCAAAAAGACACAGGCCGTGTACTTAGTTCTGGGTTCCTTGGTTATGCGTGACAAGTGTGGTAAGAAGTAGCGGGGTAGTGGTTGCAGCTACATTTTGATAATCACGCACTGTAACTAAGGCCTTGTTATAACGCACACACACTACAGTCCTTATGTTAGTGGACTCGAACAGATCCACTGCACATTGTGCTGAGAACGGCCGGGTCTGAACACGAACAGTCCCATTCATTATACAGGGTGTTGTGACTGGTAATGCGTCCAGTTCTAGCCAGAACTCCGTGTAAGACAGTGGTTTCTAAGCGTTATATAATGGTGCTTAGAAAATATCTCTTGCGCCGTACCCGCGGTTAACTTCATGCGTGTATGAGGGACACGTTTGCCAGTTATTTTAAAAATTGGTACTGTGACGTATTTACGTTTGTGTAATTGTCACTTGTGTAATTGTAAAAGCAAGTGTTCAATAAATTCGCTAGATCCAGAACGGTGTGAAGTTATTTGTCGCGTTGACATACACCCAACACGTGACAATACGTTTTACGACTTTAGCTAACTGATATATAGAATTTTGCAAATGCGCGACATTAAGCAATCGTTCTTTTACATTTTGAAAATTGTAATGAATTTAGTTTACAGTCTGATTTCCTCAAAATATGCACCCCCTCCTTCAACCGACTAGTTTTGCGCCATGGAAACGACGGAAGTGAAGGGTCAGGGAATTCCAGTAAGTCTGTTGAAATGCGCCTTAACAGAGCCGTGACACTTGCGCCAAAGACTGTGCTACATAAAATAATAGTGTTTGGTGTTTCTAGTGTTTGATTATTTATGTGACGTGCTTGCCACCATTTGCCTTTCACGTTTTCTGGCTGCCAGTTTTATTTCTGTGTAGTTGCGGGGGGCAAAGTGCGTTAACTTCGGTCGCCCCAATCAGGGGGACTGTACTCTTTAGCCGTTACCCCTTTAACGCCGTTCCATATAGCCATTTAAATTTAACTGTTGTAATCACGGGCGAAGGCGAAGTTGACCCCTTGTTTTACTAAGTACTACACCATGAAGAAATGGGCACGCGGCAGCGTAGTTAGTTGAGGCACTATGCTACAAGCCGGAAAGCCGTTTCGATTCCCGATGAGGTCTTTTGATTTTTTTCTTTCAGTTGACATAATCCTTCCAGCCGCACTATGGCCAGGGGATCGACTCAGTCTCTAACAGACATGAGTACCAGGAATATTCTTGGAATGTTCTTGGGGGTAAAGGGTGGCCGGCGCATAAGGCTGACAACCTTACTGCCATCTACGAGCCGATTGTCTAGAGAAAATGTGGGAACCTCAACATCTCACAATCCTATGGGCCTCCATGGCCTGTTACAAGGATAACGTTACTTTTACTTTACATTCTTACACTATGAAGAAATATGAGAGATTGGAAGTGTAGGTCCACCATCCTCATCGTCGGCACGAGATAGAGATGAGCGGTCACCTTGACACTCCAGGGAGACAGCCCCTGGTACCCCGTTGCGTGAGCCCCAGGGGCGGTCTGCACGCTAATGGTCGTCCAAGCCTTAGCCTGACCTACTTCGGGCACTGAAATGATTTGTGTAAAACAAGAATTAAGAAGAGTGCCATTCTCTCGAATATGACGCCGCATAGTCCGATAGAAGTTCACCGACGTTTCGGAGGAACTTGCCCCTTCATGTTGTGATGAGGCAACCAAAGAAGCCCTGCTCTTTCCATTAATGTATAGAGCTTGGGTCTATTATTTATACATTTCTACGCCGTTGCACCTATTTCTGCCAAATTTGGCATGTTGCTAGAGAATCCGCTTGGGAAGTTTCAGACGTAAACACTTTCTTGAAAAGAAAAAACCCGTTAGAGTTCCCAAAGAAGATGTTTATTTGCTCGAGAACCACTCGTTTTAGCGTATTGATGTTTTTGGCGTTCAGTAGAACTCCGAGAAATAAAGAAGCGCCTCGCATGCTTTGTGCCTTTGTCCTGGGTTTCGAGATATTTAATTTGTTGCTTATTATTATGTTTATATGTCATAACATTCCGGTCTGGCGAACGGTGAGCCTCCTGGCCACTAAACCTGCAGAAATATAAAATCATTTTTTGCTTATAATCCTCAGCATACATTGAAGATAGTGCTTTCTGGGATGTGACGCCGTGTAGTCTGATAAAACTTTACCATTGTTTCGGAAGAAAGAGATCATCAGGATCTGCCCTGAAGATGGAGGCATGAGGTTCTGATCCCATATAGTCTGGCAGATCATTACTGACGTTTTTGAGGGACCATAGAAGGTAGAACTCCTCAATCGAAGGAGAAGGTATTTTTTTTTTTAAATTCTTTTTCAGGACCTGTGTATGACTTCCCATCGAGCTATGGGAGTTCCCATACGCCAGCCTCTGCGTTTATAATGTAGTAACATATTCTGTAGTCTGTCGTCATTCTCAAAATACCAGTTTAGTTTTGCCTCTCTATTTTTTTAAGTTAAATTGAATATTTTTAGCCCTGAACGTATGTCCATATTTCGTCTTTTACGTAAGAGGGTGTACTCAGCTGTTGCATGTAGGAACCTATTTCTTCCGACTGTGTTTTCCTTTTGTTTGATCGATTTAATGTCTAGTTTTCATTTGCGTAAGTCAGCATAGACACTGCCACCGTTACCGAGGACCCCTCTGCTTCCATCTTATTTTTATACCCTGAAGATGGAAGCATCTTGATCCTCTAAAATGTTGGCAAGAACCAACGAGATTACTCGCTGCCTCATCCTAGAAGACATGCCTCAGTTGTCACCTGAGAGTGATGCAGAAACTGCAAAGGTGGGAACAAGAGTCACCATGCAGGGGATCCCGTCGAACACGCAGGCGTACTGAAGCGGCGGGAGAGTTTGGACCAGGAGAGGCTGTTCCATGTGGAAGAATGGCCTGGGCCCGCAGAAGGCTGTCGAAGGTATGGTGATTATGATGATGATGATGATGATGATGATGTATGATTTGGGCTTTCGGGAATACACCTCGTAGACTGTCGAAAGTACTAGACGTTTCGGCAGACGTTGCAGTTGCCATCTACAGGATCATTGTGGGTGGTGGACATGTCAGGTCATGCATGATTGATCAAAATAGAGAAGCCGGATGTTGTGACCATGGGGTTCGGGGTTCAGGAAGGAGATAATGAAAATCATTTTTAGAGTTCGGGAGGTCACGAAAGGAGGTAATGGAACGCGCTTTGATTAGGAACACAGGCGATTTTAGTGAGTGCATGGTTAGGAAAGGGTTTGTGCGTCCAAGCGCTTTACACCGTGTATGTACCTGAGGGCAGCAGTTGCCAGGTTAGGCACTGTTTACGACTTTCATTTCCTTGAAACTGCGCACACTCACGTAACCTCACAGCTGGCCCTCAAGTTGCCTCGTAATGAGATACGAGGCACTAATACGCCCCCATGTTTTACGTGTCAGAGCCAGTTGATGTCGGAGTCGATGTCTCAGAAGAGTGTCCAAACGCTCGTTACGTAAGCAGTGCTGAGCATACCAACCCCACTGTCAACCCGAAGGGAGATCCCTAACCAATCTTCGTATGAGGACGCTTCGCTTCTTCACAGAAGGTCGGAGAAAACTCGTAACGTAATGTAAAAGTGGGATTTGAGGTTCATATGGTGGCGACCATGAAAGTTGGTGTCTTCTGAGATGTCTATCAATATAGTTCAGTTAATAAGTACATTAATTGTGGTCCTGTCTTCCAGCCGGAAAGTTGAATGCAGATGTAACCATTTAAAGCGGAGTACTACGTATTATACCACCTGCATTAGAATTTAAGAACCCTGTATTTGCCCACAAAATGTATTTGTGTGTTCCGTATGGTTCTCACAATAAACAGTGACTGTTTCCCCAAACAGCATTAACCGGTTGGGCTCTGTAGCGGAGACGTAATGAGTTTCCTGTGAGGTACGGACTGAATTCTTATATACCTGTATTATTTGGAAGTGTATTTGTGTGTTCCGTATGGTTCTCACAATAAACAGCGACTGTTTCCCTAAACAGCATTAACCGGTGTATGTTTTTGTAATGTAGAAGCATTGTGTTTTATTGTGAGGTATGAACTAAATTTTTAGATATTACTTGGATTATTTTCACCGATCGGATTGACACAGCGGTAACCCTCTAGAATCTTATTCGGAGGGATATCGGTTCGTATCTCTCCCGGAACATGAACCTTCATGTCAGGGTTTTCATGGTTTTCCTTCAGTCCTTGCAGACATTCCGGAGTAGTACTACTTCCTTCCGAGCCTTCCCACCATTCGACCGTATAGTCTGGGGTACTGACAGCGTTGTAATATGACTCACAAACCGCCCTAGATGAATTACTTGAATCAGTGCTGATATGAATATATTTGTGTTCAGCCTCGACGCAGGTGGTACTGACAGTGCAACAGAGGCCCGTGCACAGTCAGCAGCGACCCACGAGCACCGGGATGACGTCCCCCAGTCTCCACGCCCGCCCGCTCCATCATCACCATTCAGCACCCGCGAGGGCCACAGACCGTATCACGAGCCCCCTGCCAGTCGATGTAAGTAAGGCCTGGGCGCTACTGAGTACAGGCGGCGGATGGTGGCGGATGCGCGCGCCGACAGTGCGCAGAGTGGGGGAAGCGACCACCTGCCGCCTGTACTTAGGCGCACTGTATAATGTCAACTGTTTGCTGGGTTCTTTAACTATGTAATGCTATATAATGCTATGTAGAGACAGTAAGCTATCCCTGTAACAGGCCGTGGAAGCCCATAGAGTTGTGAGACGTCGAGGCTCCAACGTTTTTATACAGTCAGCTCACAGATGGCGATGAGGTTCTCAGACCTACGCGCCGGCCACCCTTTACCCACAGGAAGATTCCTGGTACTCATTTCTGTTAGAGACTGAGTCGACCCCAGGAGCATAGTGCGGCTGGGAGGGTTAGGTCAACTGAAATATCCAATGAACTCATCTGGAATGAGCCCGCGACCTTCTGGCTTGTAGCGTAGTGCCTCAAGCAACTACGCTACCGCGTGTCCCATGTGGAGACAGTACTTGAAAAAGCCACATGTGGGATTTGAGGTGGACAGAGTGGGCCTAGGGTGCTTCTTATTGTTCCAACTGAACAATGCTTATCAGTCGGCGCTGCATAGCCTCGATACTGATAGCGTCGCTCGCTCACTGAGCTGAGCCCTTCTTGATGAGCCGCCGATTCTGCAGCTATTCAGGAACGTCCCAGCATTTAATGGAACACGGACGTTCATTACCGTGTTCACAAGAGCCCTCCACTGGACCATATCCTGAGTCAGATCAATCCAATCCATTCCATCCCATCCTATCCCTGTGATCCATTTTAATATTGTCAGCCCACTTACGCCTTGGCCTTTCCAGTGGTCTCTTTCCTTCTGGCTTTCCCACCAGTATCTTAGTGCATTCCTCTTCTCCCCCATCTGTGCTACATGCCCTGCCTATCTCATCCTCCTTGACTTGATCATTCTAATTATACTTGGAGAAGAGTACAAGTTATGAAGTTCCTCATTATGCAGTTTTCTCCAACCTCTTGTCACTTCATCTCTGTTCGGTCCAAATATTCTCCTCGGCACCCTGTTCTCAAACACCCTCAGTCTGTGTTCCTCCCTTAATTTCAGAGACCAAGTTTCACACCCATACAGAACCACAGGCAAATTTATAGATTTGTGTATGTTTATCTTTATGTTTTTGGACAGCAGACGAGAAGACAGAATGTTCTGGACTGAATGGCAGCAAGCATTACCCGAGTTCAATCTCTTCTTAATTTTCTCCTCAATCAGGTTTTGATTTGTTATCGTTGTTCTCAAATATCTGAACTGTACCACGTTTTCAAAACATCCTATCTTTATATCATTATTTTGCACTGCATTTTGGTGACTAGACAGCAACATATACTTAGTTTTCTCTGTGTAAATAACGAACAAAGAATGAACTCCGTGGCTTGAGTCCGCGAGTGAACCATGCCACCCGAGCAACCGCCGCTTGTCGGCGAAGTTAGTGTAAATAAAACAAATGAACGCAGTCACACGTAAGCAGAAGACAGAGCACGGTAGCTGTGCTAAGGAGGCCGATACATGTTGCAATGAAGAATGTGCATACAATTCCTGTAGCCGTGTACGGATGTGTTAGATGGAACCGCATGTATTCATAGATCACGTGACCAGCATGCACGTGAGAAAAGATAATTGCTTTTCTTTATTGCTAGTGGGGTGGGACTAAGTTCCTTATACTGCGGCCACTTCTGGCCTATTGTACCAGCTCCAGATGATAGGTGAGGGTGATTGTGGAGCAATTGGTGGAATGAAGATTGGCAAGGGAAACTGAAATACTCGGAGAAAACCTGCTTCAGCGCCACTTTGTCCACCACAAATCCCACTTGACCAGACCCGGGACCGAACCCGGGCCGCCGCGGTGGAAAGCCGGCGACTAACCGTTTGAGCTATGGTTCGGCCTCAGATAATTGCTTACAGAGTTTTGATATGAAAGTGCGACGGATTCAGATCTGTTGGAAGTCTAATTCTGTATATACAAATGGGATGGGGCAGTGTGGGCTGGATTCATCTGGCTCAGGATAGGGACTAGTTGTGAACGCGAAAACAAAATTTCAGGTTCCTTATGGGAATTTTTTTAGCAGCTCAGCAACAGGTAGCTTCTGTTGCACGGAGTTAGCTCAGTGAGTGTATCGACTGTGTACAGGCCTGTTGGCCTGCCGCTGTTACCCACCCGCCTTCATACACAATGCATACGGGGAATAAAACGGCCTAGGCTTGAAACCGACCACTCACCTTCATCTCGTGCAGAGGTTAACTGCGCCTCACGTGGATCTGTGTATAGAGTAATCCTTTGCATGTGTTGCAGCACGAGAAGCTACGGCAACTGGAGTGTCAGCATGTCCACACACTGCACCTCACGTGGATCTGTGTGTCTAAAGCAATGCTTTGCATGTGTTGCAGCACGAGAAGCTACGGCAACTGAAGTGTCAGCGTGTCCACACACACTGCGCCTCACGTGGATCTGTGTCTAAAGCAATGCTTTGCATGTGTTGCAGCACGAGAAGCTACGGCAACTGGAGTGTCAGCGTGTCCACACACTGCGCCTCACGTGGATCTGTGTGTCTAAAGCAATGCTTTGCATGTGTTGCAGCACGAGAAGCTACGGCAACTGGAGTGTCAGCGTGTCCACACACTGCGCCTCATGCTCGAGAAGGAACAGCGATACGTGGAAGCCCTGAGGAGCGAACTCGCCAAGTCGAACGAGCCGAAGCTGCATCAGGAGCTGACGGGGGCAGAGCGCAGAGTACGGACGCTGCAAGATCAGCTCGTCAGTCTGACGATGAACGCGGAGCACGAGGTAGGACACGCACGCACCTGTCTATAATTCTGGTTCCTAACACTGCTCGCTTGTCTGATGAGTAGTGTCTCGTATACGCTATTGAAAGTGAAGGGTGAAAATCTAACGAAAATAATGTCCAGGTTATAAAGTTTAGGCTGAAGGGTTAGCTGCTGTCTCATGGTGAAACTCTAACCAGAATGACGCGCAGGTCATAAGATTGAGGCTGAAGGGTCAGCTACTGTCTGATGGTGAAACTCTTAACTAGAATGAAAACCAGGTAATAAGGTTGAAGCTGAAGGGTTAGAACTAACCAAAATGACGTCCAGATCATAACATTGAACCTGAATTGTTAGCTGCTGCTAGAGGGTGCAGCTCTAATCAAAATGGCGTTCAGGTTATGCGATTGAAGCTAGTGTCTGATTGTAAAACTAACGAAAGTGGCGTCCAGGTTAGAAGATAGATACCGAAAGGTTAGCTACTCTTCAGTTGTAAGACTCATACCAAAATGACGTCCAGGTCGTGAGGTTGAAGCCGAAGTGTTAGCTACGTATTGACTGTGAACCTGACGTGAAAGCAATGTCCAGTGTATGCGATTTAATTTGAAGGGGTAGCTACCATCAGGTGGGGTGAAATGTAAACAAAAGATTGTAACCCCTGGACTATGATCGACATACCAGTGAAACGTTTATTTTGTAAGACTGCATGCAGTTGAAGGCTTAGCGAAATCATAACCAAGACAGAGGTTCTTCATTTCGTAACATTGGAACCCTTAGACTTTGAAATAGAAGCCCAGATAACTGTCTCTTTATGAGGTTGAAGTTTAACCGACGTATCAGATGGAGGGAGGGTCATGCACTGTAAAATGCATGAAAAGTAACGCACGTTTCATTAAGTTCAGGGGTTAATCGACATGCGCTTGTAACGTAACGGTAAAATTGTCCCTCTGTGTAAATAATTGTGGACTATGCCGTGAAGACATATGGGGCAGTGGAGGTATAGCTCCACCGGTCTTAACCTCGGCGCTAGATGAAGGTGATTAGTCAGCTCTTCGGCCCGACTGCTTTACACCGTTGGAAAGAGGACCCGGTACCCACTGGATTGGAGGCCCGTCTTGGGAATCTAACCCCGGCCATACAGCCGGTAACCCTGTCGCTATACCGACTGAGCTACTCGTATATGGTAATACTGAAGTTGAAGTAAAGTACTTTATATAATATTTAAACATTTACATGTTTGGTTTATTTAAATAATTATGTATTCCTTATAATCACATGTGATACATGTTCTGTGTTTGCAGTGTCAGTGTTTTTTTTTTTGAGTTGTCATGGTCGCTTCTTGTGCTTGGGCTCAGGCCCAGGTAAACGTCGGTCACAAGCCCCCTTGGGCTGGAGTGGGGACCTGAGTGTGCATTTAGACCCCGCGGTATATTTATACGGTGTGTCCAGGATCAGTTAATACTTTTTTTTTTTATTTTGCCCTTCAATTCCACCTGTTGGCGAGTTGTGGCGTTAAAATTCTCGAAGTTTCAGCTATGGCTGTCTAAAATTTCAAAGCGCAAGCATCGCTGTATCATGTGTTCTGACCTTGAATATAACAGTACTGTTCTGACGCTCGTCGGAAAATGGCGGTTGAACAGAGAGCCAACTTAAAATTCTGTTTGAAGTTAGGCAAAACAGCCGGAGAAGCGTACGAAATGATGAAAAGTGTGTACGGTAGTAATTGTTTGAGTCGCTCGAACATTTTGCGATGGTATTCTGTATTTCGTGACGGCAGGGAGGACATTGAAGACGCCCCACGTGCATCAAAGCCGAGAACAAGTCACATTGAAGAAAATGTGAAAAAAGTGACCGAAATCCTTGCATTAGACAGATGTGTTTCTGCAAGACTCATCGAGGAGCTTTTGGAAATACGAAAAAGTACTGTGCATCAAACTTTGGCCGAGGATTTGGGCAAACGGAAGGTCTGTACGCGGTTTGTACCGCACGCGCTGTCAGGCGATGAAAAACATGCCAGAGTGGAACACTGCCAAGACATGTTACGGTCGGCCCAAAGTGATACAAAATTTACAAAATCGATTGTTACTGGTGACGAGACATGGCGTTTTCAAGATGAGCCGATCACAAAGCGGCAGAATGCAGCGTGGTTGAGCCCAAAGAAGCCGAAACCAAAGAAAGTGCGCATGCAAAAGAGTCGAGTAAAGAAACTGCTGACCGTTTTCTTCGATTCGATTCCAAAGGAATCATTCACAAGGAATTTCTGCTAGAAGTTCAAACAGTGAATTCTAATTATTATCTCGGCGCCCTCAATCATTTGTGGGCAAGAATTCTTCGAATTCGACCTAAATATCAAGAGCAAGGTTCCTGGTCAATCCTCCACGACAATGCCCCACCCCACAAGTCGAATAGCGCGCGATTTTTTGGCCAGAAAAGGGAGCAGAGTCCTTGATCATCCTCCGTATTCGCCAGATTTGGCTCCAGCAGATTTCTGGTTGTTCCCAAAAGTTAAGTTGGCGTTGAAAGGAGACTGTCACGACAGCATCCAGGACATCCAAAGGAAATGTATAGCAGTTTTAAATGCGATTCCACAAAAGGAGTACAGTGACGATTTTCGAAAACTTTTCAATCGATTTGTACTATGTACTGATTTAGGAGACTATTTTGAATAAAAAGAGTGAAATTTTGAAAATAATTCACGTCTTGTATTTTTAATGAACACAGTCTTAACAGAACCTGGACACACTGTATGTGCTGTGTGCCGATCACAGTGGCAGGCCGCGCAGTCTAAGGCGTGAACTGTCTTCGCTCGCTCGAGCGCTGGGATCGTGGGTTCAAATCCCACTCAAGGCATGGATCTCTTTCTGCGTTTGCTCTGTGTTTTTGTTGCTCTGTGTGTAGGTAGTTGATCCCCGTGCGAGGAGCTATACCGACTGCGTACAGGAGTAATGAACCATCGGGTGTCATAAAAATCGGGAAATATTTTGAATATCTGAGACTCTGTCAGCTTCTGAAGAAGAACTGTGCCTCATGGAGTTAATAATGTAGTATCTTGACTAGCTGAGCGACTGTTAGCTTCTTTGGAAGAACTGTACTTCGTGGAGTTAATTATGCCGGCTTTTTTGAACACGGTAGTGAACCGTCGGGTAAAAGGCGTGTAATTTCTTGACTAGCTGAGCGACTGTTAGCTTCTCTAGAAGAACTGCGCTTCCTGGAGTTAATTAAGCGGGCTTTTGTGGACACAGTAGTGAACCGTCGGGTAAAAGCGGGTAGTTTCTTGACTAGCTGAGCGACTCTTAGCTTCTCAAGAAGGACTCAGCTCCATGGAGTTATATTGATATAGGGACGGCGGAAACATGGCAGATCTCTATGCTGGAGGTGTGCCATTTGAATCTCGGTCAGGACACGGAGTTTCCTGACGGAAATTGTTCATGGTTCTGCTCAGGCCATTCAGGAAAATGCCGAAATAGTACTCTAGGGGCGTAATTGAAAGTGTTATTCTGACATTTGCCAGGAAGCTCTGAGGAGGAGCAAGATAGGCCTCAGGACACACGACCGTATTACAATATTTGTTATAGCATAAAGTTCCCTTCTGTTTATTCTGAAACGCGAAGTACTGGAACACTGTCCGGGACGGGAAGCCTTGGAAATGCGTGTAGACGGCCCAGATAAGCAGAAGATAAGTCCCGGGGACTGGCCGGTACATGTTACCAAGGGAACTGTTACAGTGCACGTTAGGAAATGCGCTGTTGGGGACGGTAGTTAATGGCCTCACAAGGCCCTGGGAAGGGTCGCCTTAAGCTGGAGCGTTCTGGAAGTGAGCAGACGGCGTCTCTCTGCCCCCCCCCCCGCATTTCCGGCGCTGACATTATTATTAGCATTAACCGCTGCAGATGTGTAACGTGTGCTGCAATATAAGGTAATACGTATTGTATTGTCAGGCGTTAGTGAACACATACAGGGTTTGGATTGATAATTGGATTTATCGAACACTTATATAACTCATAACTACAAATAATTACCAACGCCTTAAGTAATCTGGACATTTTAAAACTCAACTACAGCAGCACCACGTCTCCTCTCTGTTCTGTCGTCACTAGTCGGTGCTTGGTAGCGGCGCCTAACAGTGCTACTCAAGACTAACCGCTGACTCCGACTTCCGACTGAACTGTCTAACAGTCAGATCCAGTCCAGTAAGATGCTGCTGGCTCTCGACAGCAAAGTCGTTGTTGGTTTCGGGCGGGACCCATGACCATATTTTTGTTCTTTTCAAGACTGTTGCGTATGTTGAAACGGGGCCTCTCCTCTTCGACGAGAGAAGGGGGTCTGGCTACTTACTTGCCACCCCATATACGGGGGTGACTCACCTGCACGCACACGCACGCTCGACTCCTAGTCAGAGTTACTTTATGGCTGGCGGTTTGCCGCCAATCAGTTCCTTTTGGCGCCTAGCCTCTTGAGACTCACGACTAGATATATTTTTTTTTTAACTGAACCCTTGCGGTAATAGTCCTCAAGTAACATCCTCTGTGACGAAAATATGGGTTTGTCCCTCGTGAATATCCTTGGCCTTTCGTCAAGTCTACATATCGCACATATAGCGTGTTATTGAAAATTCTTCCTTGTGCGCTATACGAGTATACACGTCTTCTGTCAGTCCAGGCTTTACAAAGCAGATCATGTCTGTCTTACGTATCTTACGCTACAACGGAAGCTTAGTCACTTGAACGGTCGCAAGCTTGACCATCCCCCACGTTTAAGCCTCATATATTTTCCAGCTCAGAATTTGCTTTAGGACTGCTTATATATTAACTTAGGGACGGACCGCATAGAAAACACCACCTCTTGCAGTTTGCTGTGTTGTTGCATACGGGCACGTGTTTATCGATCAGTGGAAGAATTGTTCTCTTTTTTCTCGCTATTATTCTGTTCCTTCCTACTCTTTTTTTTTCGTTCTCTGTGTAATGTGTTCTTTCTCCCGGCTTCCGCCATTATTTTGCCTTCTCCCCTTTCCTGCGCCCCCCC